ACCCTAACCCTAACCCTAACCCTAACCCTAACCCTAACCCTAACCCTAACCCTAACCCTAACCCTAACCCTAACCCTAACCCTAACCCTAGCTCGACAGCCATAGTCCTATCCCTAACCCTAGCTTGACAGCCATAGCCCTAACCCTAACCCTAGCTCGACAGCCATAGCCCTAACCCTAACCCTAGCTTGACAGCCATAGCCCTAACCCTAACCCTAGCTCGACAGCCATAGTCCTAACCCTAACCCTAGCTCGACAGCCATAGTCCTATCCCTAACCCTAGCTCGACAGCCATAGTCCTATCCCTAACCCTAGCTTGACAGCCATAGCCCTAACCCTAACCCTAGCTCGACAGCCATATCCCTAACCCTAACCCTAGCTCGACAGACATATCCCTATCCCTAACCCTAGCTCGACAGCCATATCCCTAACCCTAACCTTAGCTCGCGTGGTCGCCAACATAAGGCCAGCGACCATGCGACCAAAAACCCTATATGGTCGCCAACATGGTCGCCAACTTGCGACCACGGTCACGACCACTCTGGTCGCGCTATAAACGTAGCCCCCAAGGTAACCCTAGCTCGCCAGCGACGTGGTCGCCAATATCGTGCGGCCAGACAGTCGCTGCTGAGAGCCAGCCGGAGTGCAGATGGCGGCGTTGACTTTTTGCTCTGGTTTTAAGGCCTTGTTGCATGTGTGCCTTATACACCCACAGCCAACAGCCCACTGCCAACAGCCAACAGCCAACAGCACCTCCCACCTCCGAGCTCCTCGAGCCACGAGCCCGCAGCCAACAGCCAATAGCCAACAGCACACAGCCAACAGCACACAGCACACAGCACACAGCACACAGCACACAGCCCACAGCCCACAGCCCATAGCCCATAGCCCATAGCCCACAGCCCATAGCCCATAGCCCGAACCCTAACCCTAACCCTAACCCTAACCCTAACCCTAACCCTAACCCTAACCCTAACCCAAGGCTGGACAAGCTCTGGACAAGGCTGGCCACTCTCTGGCCAAGGCTGGCCAAGCTCTGGCCAAGGATGGCCAAGCTCTGGCCAAGGCTGGCCAAGGCTGGCCAAGCTCTGGCCAAGGCTGGCCAAGCTCTGGCCAGGGCTGGCCAAGCTCTGGCCAAGGCTGGCCAAGCTCTGGCCAAGGCTGGCCAAGGCTGGCCAAGCTCTGGCCAAGGCTGGCCAAGCTCTGGCCAGGGCTGGCCACTCTCTGGCCAAGGCTGGCCAAGGCTGGCCAAGGCTGGCCAAGCTCTGGCCAAGGCTGGCCAAGGCTGGTTGCGCGCGGCGCGCGCCCGCCCGGCTGCCAGTAGGAGGCGGCGCAATATGGCCTATAGTACAGCCCTTGAGGAGGAGGAAGAGGCTGGCTGGCAGTGCTGTATGCCGCCGAGGGGCAGTTTTGGGGTGCTGTCCCCATCCCAGGGGGCTGCAGAAGGCGTCCGCAACCGGGACAACCAGCCCCCCCAGCCGAGGCCGGTCGAAGCCCACTTGGAGGCAGCCATGAGGAGTCCTCTTGGTGCTCCTGGCACCCGTTGGAATGGCGAGCCCGCGCCGATGGGGGGGGGGGGTCTTGCTTGCTCCACACCGAGCGCCATCGGTCCGGACCGGTGCCTCCACCGAGGGGTGGCCTGCACAAGGTCTGAGCCGCGGGCGCTCGGCGCCAAGTGCAGTGTCACGCTCGCACGCGAAGGGGACACAATGGGAAACCCTCGTTTCCTATGTACTCGGTCCCCCAACGGAAGAGGCCTCGCTCCTATTGGAACTGGCCAACATCAGATTTGCCTCGTGCGTCCCTTTTTGAGTCGGAAAGCTATTTTCTTTTGGGTCCTGTGGGCACCCTAGCAAGGGCCCCCTACCCACCCCAGACACCCTCACGCCCTCTCCCCCGGCCCGCCGCGGCACCGAGGGCGATTCTGCGCGAGGGAGATCGCTGCTGCGGAGCCGCAGCGGCCGGCGGCGGCGCCGAGAGGGCGGCCGGGTGCACCCGAGCCCACCCGAGAGGTGTCCCCAAGGGTCTGGGGCCGTTTTGCTAAAAATCGAGCAAAGTCGGCTCCGCCTCAGCGCGTTGCACTCATAGCCCTCGCTCATCGCCACTTGCGCACGGCTATTCGTGAGCGTGACGCAGCGCATATGCCACTCCCGGCTTCGGCGAAGTGAAGGGCGTCAGGGCTGTCAGCCAGGGGGGGCGACCCTCGTAGCGTCATCCTCACAACCTCGATCGTACATAGGGTGCCCACAGGACCCAAAAGAAAATAGCTTTCCGGCTCAAAAAGGGACGCACGAGGCAAATCTGATGTTGGCTTGTTCCAATAGGAGCGAGGCCTCTTCCGTTGGGGAGGGCAGCGGAGGGGGTGCCGATTCGGGCGGCGGGGGCGGCGCGGGTCGGCAAGGCCTTCCCGCCGCACGTGGCCACGGTCACCAGCCTCACCAAACACACCGCCGCACGAGCAACGCCACGCCCCGGCCCTCGCCCAGCCGCTGGAATGGTCCGCCGCCGTCGCGTTCGCCGCCGCCGCGGCCCAGGCCGCCGCGGTCAGCGCCGCGCCCTGACCGACAAACGCGCACAGCAGATCCGGCATCTGGCCCACCGCCTCGCTCGCCCCGCGGTGGCCACAGACCCTCTTCCACCCCTTTGCAATCGCGCTTGTTACCAACATACAGGTGTAGGAAGGTGAATGAAGAACAGTCAGGCTCGGACTGGACAACAACGCGGTATGGGTGGACACGGGACACATATCTGAAGCACGAGAAAAAGAAATAACTTCGGATACCCTCATAGGGTATGCGCATCCCTAGCAGCGCAGCGGGCAGGGCGGCTCGCGCAGCGCGCGCGATCGCGCAAGCAGCGCGCGCGAGCGAGCGAGCGAGCACACACACACACACACACACACACACACACACACACACACACACACACACACACACACACACACACACACACACACACTCCTACCTCCCCAGAAATCCCGAGGAGGCGCACAGCGCCTAGATATGTCTTGTGTTGCTGTGTGCTGCACGCCCTGCGAGCGGGGCGGGGTGCGCACTGACCCTCTGTGTTCGTGTGCGTCGCCCATCTCTAAAGAAAGAAAGAAGAAAGAAAACAGACAACCCAAGGGAGGGATGGGAGGACGGCACGCCGCCACCACACAGGGATTTTAAGGAGAGGTGTGTGGTGCGCTAGCCGTCGCCCACCCTAGGGAGTCTGCCTCTTCCTATCTCTCTTCGCAGTCTCTCGCCGCTTCTCGCTGCAATCTTCATGCCACCTCGCGGTCGTCCCACTCTCGTCGTTCTCTCCCTTGTCATTTCCTCCTCTGTCGCGTCATTCTCTTCTGCCTCGTCCTGTGACGCCGCCGCCTGCCGGTCCCTTGTTCTCGCGGCTTCTTTCGCCTTTCGGCGCAACTCCGTCCTCCTCGCGGCGTATCCTGGCCCCTCGAGTCTATCGAGCCCATCTCTCCCTGGAGATGACTGCGCTATTTATTTATTTATTGCTCATGATTGCGGCCATCCTCGCCGCCGCTGCTCTCCCCTCAGCACGCGCGCCGCTCTTCTCGGCCACGGCTGCTGCGTGTGCGGACGCCCGGCTGCTTGCCTCTCGGGCCGCAGCCGAGGAGGCAGACGCGGCCGTGAAGGCCGCCTACGAGGCTGTCAGAAGCGACAAGTCCGCCGCCCCAGCGCTGCAGCAAGCGCAACAGTTGCTGTCCACCCTGCGTCACGACGAGGCGTGCCGCGCCTGCGAGGTTTCGCTTCTCGGCTGTGCGGGCGGCGAGAGCTGCGCTGAAGCGCTCGAGGCACTCAGGGCTGCGGGCGTGTCCCCCGACGCCGCCTGCCTCCGGCTCGCGCTCGAGGCGGGCGCCGCGGGCGCCGCGGCCGGAGGAGACGTCGCGGAGGAGGCGCAGTGGGCAGTTCTGCACCTCGAGGACCTGCGGGGAGCGACGCGGCTCGCTCCTCGCGACGTGGGTCTTGCGCTGCGGCCGTGTGCCCTGGCCGGCCGGTGGGACCTCGCCGCCACTGCGCTCCGGGTGGCGGCACTGCTGCCTAGCCCAGAGGAGAGCGAGCTGCTTCTGCGCGCCTCGCTCCACCAGCACACGCACGGCTTGCCCTCCGCCGCCGCCGGCGTCACCGCCGCTACCGCCGCCGCCCGTCGCGAGGCGGAGAAGCTACTGGCGGCTCCGCTCGCGTCGGAGCTTGCGGCTAAACTGGCGAGCGGCAGCAGCGCGGGCGATGGCTTCCAGCTGCGTGTGCGGTGGCCGCCTGCGGCGTGCGGTGCCCTCGCCGCCGCCGCAGCCGAGGCGCTGTGCGAGGCGCGCAAGGCGGGAGAGATTGGGAGACGGGTCGGGTCACTCTCTCACCGCCGCCTCGAGCATTGCCCCTCTAGGCTCAGATGGTCGCTGGGCCCCTGGTGGCCGTCGGGTGCGACAAGGGAGTGGCGCTGCAGCTGGAAGCGGAGCTGGAGGCGGGCTCGGAGAGGGCTGCAGGCGCAGAGAGAGAGGCTGCGGCGGAGGCGGAGGCGGCGGCAGCGGCGGCAGAGAGGGCTGCTGAGGCGGCGGAGGCGGAGGCGGCGGCAGCGGCGGCAGAGAGGGCTGCTGAGGCGGCGGCGGCAGAGGAGGTGGAGGCGGAGGTGGAGGCGGAGGCGGCGTCCTTCTGGAGACCCGTCCTCGCCGCCTCCGCACCGGCGAGCGACGAGGCGGCCGCGCGGCTCCGCGCCTCGCTGCAGGAGGAGGTGAGGTCTGCCTTGCGGCAGCTCGGCCTCGCTGCCGACTCTGCGCGCGTGGAGGCGGCGGCTCGCGGCGGCAGCGTCGCGCGGATCAGCGGCGATGCGTTGGCCGAGTGGGTCTTGCGGCGCTGCGTCGCGCAGTGGCAGAGCAGGGCGGCAGCGGAGGAGGAGGAGAGGAGGCGGGAGAAGGCGGAGGCGGAGGCGGAGGCGGCGGAGGCGGCCGACCTCGCTGCACGCAGGCAGGCGAGGTGGGCGGCGAAGAACCAGCGGCTGGTCGACGGGGCTGTCGAGGAGGAGCGGCTGTCGCGGTCGTCCCTCGCGGTCGCTATCGATGACTGGTCGGTGCGGGAGGCGGCGCGGCGCGAGAGGGAAGGGGGGGGCGAGGCGGATACCTCTGCCGTGGCAGCCAGCCCGCCATCGCCGCCGCCGCGGCGGCAGACGCCGCCACCGCTGCCGCCGCCGCCGCCGCCTCGGGTCAGAAGAGAGCGGCCAGGTGACTCGAGCCCACTCCCGACGGATGATGTGCTGCAGCTGCCGGGCATCGGGCCGAGCCGATCCAAGGCGCTCCGCGCTGCGGGCGTCGCGACCGTCGCAGAGCTCGCAGCCACGAGCGGCGGCGGGGAGGATCGGCTCTCTGTGGCGAGTGGCGTCCCGCTCCGCACGCTCGTGGAGTGCGCACGGAGGGCCGCAGAGGCGGTCGCGGGCAATGGCACTTGGCAGCGAGACGATACGACCCCACGTAAATGAATGTACGATTCACTAATCTTACCACGAAGGTCGTATAACATGCATTCAGAACACCGAGAGCGAGAGACCTCTGGGCGTATATACAAACCACGATGATACAGTAACCATAGTGGTGCATAGTCCATACGGCTTTATGGTTCTTTAGTAAAAGATAACGGAGATCCCGGGTGGGGGTAGCGACTTGGACGAACCTCGGTCCTCGCCATCAGCGGCCGGGGCGCGGCAGACGCGCGAGCGGCCAGCGCACGGGCAGCGTCACCCAGTTGAGGACGCGCATCGCCTGCAGCGTGGTTCCCACGTGCGGCCGCGCGCGGTGGATCCACTCCTCCACGCGCAGTCGCTGCAGCAGCGCCCAGAGCGCGACACCGCGCACGGCGATCAGCCCGTTCAGCGCGAGCACGGCGCAGTTGAGCGCAATCAGCCGCCACGCCGTCAGCCGGCGCCGCTGTCGCGCCTCCGAACGCTCTCGCAGCTCCGCAAGCAGCGATGAGGTGGCGCTGCCCCCGTCCGCAGCGCCGCCCTCGCCCTCGCCAGCCTCCTCTGGCGTCTGGAGCAGCGGGCTGACGGCGGCGGCGTGCGCGCGGCGCGCGGCGAGGAGGGCGGCGGCAGCATCGGGCGACACGACGACGCGCTGGACGACATGGGCGCGCCGCTCTCGGCCGCTCGGCTCGACGACGGTGACGACGACGGCCTCTCGACGCACGCCGTCTTTGGCGAGCGCGCGGGGCCCGACGCTGCCGTCGAGAAGGAAGGGCATGCATCGCGCGTCGACGATGACGCGCAAGCCTCGCGATGCACGGGGATGGGCCCACTCTTGCGTCGCCGCGCGCGTGAGCGCCGGCTCGGCCTCAAGAAGGGGCCGCGATCGCCTCCAGCGCACGCGCACATGCCGCCAGCAGTCTGGGTGCAGGAAGCCAAAGCCCAGCGAGAAGCTTGGCAGCTGCGGCGGCTCACGGTGGCCGGCCGCGGGTGCGAAGCCAAGCAGATCGAGAGAGCGCACCGAGCCGAGGAGCGAGCTCTGCGACAGCAGGTAGCAGCCGCCGCCGCTGTGAGCCCCGCACAGCGAGCTGTCGGCGAGAGCGGCGGACGAGCAGCGGCTGCCCCTGCACAGCTCAAGTCGGCTGCCGACTTGTGAGGCCAGGCTCGTGGAGTTGGAGAGCGCAGCGACGGCGTGCAGCATTTTTCAGCTTTTCAAAAAATTAGCCAAATTCAATCGTACTAGAGGAAAAGAATGAGGGCACAAAAGAGGCGCGCGAGGCAAGAGGAGAATCGGAGAACTGAGAGACTGGGACGACTGGAAACAAGAAGACAGTGAGCCACCACAGGCGTCGTTGGCGCACATACTGAGCGGCAGCTGCGCTGGAAATAAGGAAGATAGGGTGCCCACAGGGCCCAAAAAAAGAAAGGAAAAAAGAAATGGGCCACCCCCGATCGCAGCACGTCGTGTTGGCCAGTCGAGAAATTGAGATTGTGACTAGGAGGGAGGGACGCTAGGGATTCTCAAAGGTATACCCTTGGAATGGCCGGATCCAGCCTTATATACGAGATCGCGCGCGCTTCGCGCGCTGCACCGCCTATTCTCCGCGGCTGTGTGACGACGCGTGCCGTGTACCAGCAGAGTTGGGCGCGCGCGGCGCGACGGCGCCCGCGAGGGAAGGCGCGGGTGCAGCGGCCGCCGTGGTAAACCCGCTCCACCCAAAGTTGCCGTCGCTCACCGTTGTAGCGCACGCGACTTGCAACTGCTTTGACGCCGTGTGGATTCGCAACGACTGGGATAACACCAAGGCGCTCGCCGAGGAGCACATCTCCCCGCATCTTGGCCAGCTGATCGGCCGGGGCAGCGACGGAGATGCCCGTCGCTTCAAGAACCAGCTCGAGGACATGCAGCCGCTTCCTATGGCACCAGGCCGAGGGGCTGTTGCTGCCCTTTGTTTTTTTTGTGGTATGTGTATTGTTGGCGAACAAGACACAGAGCTCACACAGAATCACAGCGGAAGGAAAGCGGGCGAGTCGCAATTCCTGAGTATGTAAAGAACGCGCATGTAGCATATTATTCACTTCACACCCGCAGCTGCGATTGCGAACATGTCCGTTAAATGCGCCTATTCATTATCGTATCCCTCGTGCTCGACGCCCTCCTCAAAGTCGGCAATCGCCGTATCCACATCCTTCTTCCGCCTTTCGATACTTCATGAGCGCATTCTTCAGCGGCGTCTTGCCACAGTTCTCGTACAGCTCCTCGAGCGCGTGTCGATGAATCCAGCGTCATTGCTGTCCTCTTTGAAGGTGCCTCGCGTGAGGTAGCACATGGCCTTGTCGGCAGCAGCCAGCCTGTTGCGCCGCTTCTTTGCGATGAGTTGCTCGGGCTCGCAGAAGCGCATGCCGAGCACTGCCTCAATCTTGAAGGCAAGCAGAATGTCGGCACGACCGCATCGTCCGCACCGCCACCTGCCAGCCGCGCCTGGCGCAGCGCCGATGCTGCCTTTTGGCACCGGTAGCGAGCGCACATGGTGCGGTGCGCGTACTTGAGCAGGCGGTGCGAGCCGCATGGCGCAGGGGCCCTGGGAGTAGGGCGCGCGCGGCATTGACGCGGACCCAGGTATTTCTCGGGTATACCCGGGGTTTTGCAGGTATACCCGGTTTATTTACCCGGAGGGTGTGCCAACACCGTTCTAACGGCGTGCTAACACTTGTTTTGGGACTGCCGTTAGACTGTGCTAACACCGACCTTTGCGCCAAGTGTTGGCACGATCTGTAGTCAGTGCTCCCCCTGAGGTGTGCTAACGTTAGTCCACCAGCCCTGAGCCTGACAGCACCCCAACAGCACCACCTGACAGACCTGACAGTACCGGCCCTACGTCTGACAGCAGCAGCAGCCTGACAGCTCTGACAGCTCCGACAGCGTCTGACAGCAACAGCCAACACCCGACAGCTCCGACAGCACCCGACAGCACCAGAGCACCTCGCCTGTCACAGACAAGCACCCGACAGCACCCGACAGCACTGACAGCACCTGACAGCTGGTCTGACAGAGGCACCTGACAGTGCCTGACAGTGCCCGACAGCCAGACAGATCACCTGACAGCACCTGACAGCCTGACAGCCAGGGCTCAGTACAAAATGGCGCTCATGTAAGTTGCTGCCGCCGATAAGTTCGTTCGCCCGACGGCGGCGCGGCGTGCAATAACTGCAAATAGGAAACCGCGCCAGACCGGCGGCGCTGAAGTGGAACGGCGCCTGGCACGGCGGACACCAGCAATATTAATAATTGACTTGAGCCGCCATGGTCGGGCGGTCAGTAGACTACTAACTAATGCTTCGTTGTCCATCGTCCGTCCGCGTGCTGTACAGCTCTGCCAGTCGCTCCTTCGCAAGGGCCCCGCCGCCAGGCTGGGGGCGGGGCCCGCGCAGGGGACTCCAGTGGCGGAAGAGTGACGAAAAAGAAAGCCCAGTAGTGCGAAAAAGAATGACGAAAAGCCCCGCCGTGAGGTGACTGCCCTGCGATCGACACATGCGATGAACCAGGTCAGAGCCGCCCACCGCCCGCCGGCCGCGAGACCGCCCGCTCCGCGCTGACCCCGGCTGCCGCCGCGCCCCGCGAACAGCTGAAGCAGTTTGAGCAATACTGCGCCACGCTCTACACCTCCCCGGATGCGGCCGAGCGGTCGGCGGCGGAGGCTGCCCTCGTGCAGCTGTCGAGCACCCCCGAATACCTGCCGCAGTGCCAGTTCGTGCTGGACCACTCAAAGTACGC